GTTTTGAGGTGGCGACACCTGATCTGATAATGTTACTGTGGCCGTGCTCAGGACGCAGATGTCTGGAGCACGTCAACGATCAGAGCTTTGCATGCGTAAGTTGGTTACGTTTAGGATGGGGGTGAGGGGAAGGTTAAATTGCAAGAGGGTAAAGGTCACAATTCGGTCAAATGTCCGTTTTATTGCGGGCGTCAGATACCGATGCTCTGGCACAGCGCGTCGCCTCCCGACACGCAGGGGCTTGTCACCTGCTGTTTTTTTCCGAGGACTGCATCTTGTCGATCATTATCACGTGACAGCGACTAGTCTATGAAAGGCATAAAAAGTCACTACAGGGCAGTGAAGTCGACTAGTTGGTACAACCCCTAGCAGTGACATTCATATGTGCTATTTGTGGTTACTCAATACGCTAAAATTCTACTTACAACAGCGACCTGCACAGAACCCAACTAATGCTGCTACATCATAAATACTGCTACTCTGTATTTATTTGTAAATATTACTGTTGATTTTACATTTAAATATTCAGCATTATTTTCTCATATTATTTTACATTTTGTACCAAAGGGAGTGGCACTCCAATATCGATGTACCATGTACAACAATAAAGTCTATTCTATTCTATTCTATTCTATTCTATAATCCTGTCAGTAAACATCTCATACCATCAATTTAATCAACGTCTAGTGTCATTTCCTCAGCTGTGGCATTATAATGATGTGAACTTCACCATCAAAAGAGAAAAGAAGACACTGCTAGCCCCCTGTTGGTCTGCATGGTGTAGCCAAAGACAGAACGAGTTTTTGGAGTAGGGTGCTGGTTTGTGGGGGGTTGGGTTGAGGCGCTAAAGAGCCGATCGATCTCCAGCTGCAGGTGGCCGAGCTGGAGAAGGCGCTGAAACCTGTCCTGACTGCAAAGCAAACTACATCCAAGCAAAAAAGGTACAGAGAGAGGGAGCAAACTCTTCAACACATAATACAAGATGTTTGTGGAGTAAGAGCTGCTGATCCACATGCTGAATCCCTTGTTCTGACTCTTTAGACAAGATGAAAAACAGCTGGAATGCAGAAGTCAGTGATGGCATTTTAAAACCTTCACAGCACTAAAAGCTAATTCAACAAGAAGTTCAAATCTCTTCATCATTTGGGCGAATAATGCTCTCCAGCTCAGCCTGTGATGCACAGAGAACAGTACTGCTTTCTTATTTACAAATGTGTAATTAACAGCTCAGAAAAGGCTCCCTTTGAAATGGCAGATGTGATGACACTGAGATTAGACATCGCTCTTATCGTTTCACAGGCCAGAGTACCACACCATCACAAATATGGAGCCCGTTGCTTGTTCACACACACCAGATGCATTTAGAAGTAACAATGCCATTAAAGTGATTTCTTTCCATGTATCCACAAATGAGTGAATCATCAAGTCATCCAGAGAGAGCTGCAACTCCCCTGCAACTGCTTATTCATAAAGAAATAGGTTAAGCCTTGATGTTTAAATCACAGAGTGTAAATCTCTTAAAATCCTCTCATATGGCTGTTAAGACAAAAGGGTCTTGTTTGGAAACATGCATTTGAGATGATGCGGTACAATGGCAGCTGATATGGTTGAATCCCTATAGGGCACAATGGTGAGATGGATGCTAAACCACCGAGACAACGGAGGAAAAAAAGAGTTGGTTTGGAAGAATAAGTATTTTATTTCAAAGTTTGTCTATCCTGAGCTCGGGCAGCTCTGCAGTCATACAAGTTAGATTAAAATGAGAGAATGATTTGGTTCTTGGGTCCCTGGGGATGGAAACTGTCTGGACACAGTGGGCACTCAATAGCAGATCGATAACTGCAACGGCAGACCAGACTCACCCTGGCTCCATCCTCGCGCTGTCTGAACAACCAGAATTAATCTTTTTTTTTTTATGTTGCACTATTTGCAAATGATTGAAGGTTGCCTGAGGCTGAGGAGCCTTTGGTGAGAAAATAAAACTTAAGAACATCGTTCGTGCCTCATAACTACCTGTGTCCACAGATACCGCGGTGAAAAGAACAGATGTGTTTAATGTAAGTGCAGCCATGCCTAAATTCAACTGAAATGCTGTTCGGCTGCAACACCTTGTTATTTTAGGCCTGTGCCTTAAAGGCCAGGCGGTAATGGGGGGTGGGGGGTTTACTAGCTCTCCAGAATTGAACAAACAGCCTCTTTTTGCTCTTTCAATCTGTCACATGGGGAAATTATTATTCCTTACGTGCAGCGGTAAAGAACTGATATATAAGCGGTGATGAATCCAGCGTGTTACAGCTGAGGCTACCAATCTGGCTCATGAGAATAGAATCAAAAGAAAATTGGATCCTGCTCGAAACCCCGTCTCCTCACTGGATACTTGATGAAAGCCATTTGCTCAGAAATTTGTATTAATGCTCCCAAAGACTGTATGAAGATGAGAGAAAGATAAGTTGCAGAGGCTTGAAAATTTTCACAGACTGCAATTGCCTCTTGCGAGATAAGGGTTTTCTATTTCGCTCCTGAGGATAGAGTCTTGTAACAAACAAAGACGCAGAAAAAGAGGGAAATCACATTGTTGCTTAGCTGAAATGACTGAAATGTCAAGGACTTTCATTACCAGAAAGGCCTTGTAAAAACTCTCGTGTCTGAATGAGCTTCTGTGAATAGGCTGGATCATTCACCCACCATGCTATGCAAACAAGTTGTCCAAGTTTTTTATTGTTTCAAAGGACCTTGTGACATACTAAAAAAAGCAGGCAGTGTCTTGGACACACATGCCATCCCAGACTCTTTCACGCCCAGGCTAAACGTTTAGCCACCCAGGCTAATTAACTGCTGTGAAAGAGCGTGCATCAAAGGGAGGCGGAATTCAGAGGCTCTCTGACCAACCCTCGGGTCCAGAGGTCAGCCCTCTCCAAGACAGAAGTTAGGACGTCCTGGCCCCGGACCTCTGGACGCTCACCCTTAACCCTTGCACAAGCATATCAAAGCCCCGACAGCAGAGGGCTGCACAGACGTCCCCCAACAATAACAGGAGGACATCAAAGACTTTTGTTGGAAAAAGATGAGAGGAAAAAACAATAACATAAAAATGAGCCAATATCAAATTCCCTCGTATTCTGCAGATATTCCAAAAGATGAATATAATTAATCTCTCCAAGTTGTCGTGGGTCTAAAGGGACCTTGCTGTGCTGCAGGCTCCTTGGGGCACTTGAGGAGAATTATGTGATTAAACAGACCTGTGAATTCTGGACACAGGCGGAGAGACGAAAGCTTCAGTCCTCTTCATAGTGCCCCTAATGAAGTGGCTGGTGGCTTCGTCATCCCTGGCTGGGCCTTGTGCAGCCTGTTCACAATCTGTCTAATGACAGAGCGGGGGCTACAGAGCGCACCAATGCTTCCCAATGAGCCACAAAAGGAGATCACAGGCTCCATTGTGGCTAGGCACAGGAGCTTAGCACTCATCAGACCCAATAAACCTGTCTCTAGTCAGGGTGGGACACACCCCTCTGCTGCTGGCCAAGAGCCCCACACAGCACACTCCTTCAGTTGACAGTGGTCCTGTCTGTCATTATGACATCAGGCTGTCTCTCTCTCTTTGGATTCACATGTTGACATTGGAATAAGAAGCATTTTTCCCTAATTGCCTCTGCTGTTGTGTCTACTGTAGGAAGGATAATGTATGGCTATGTATTTTCATGCATCGGGTGTTTACTTGCCTGCCCTTTTGCCTCCATTTTAAACAGGGCCACTCCTCTTGGCCTGCTCTGCCTCCTGGAGCTGCTGCCAAACGTATGCAAATGAGCATGTCCACAATGGCACCCACAGCTGCACGCAGTCGGCCAAAGACAGAGGACAAGGCGGTGATCCCTTTCATCCGTAACCCCTGATCCCCTCTCAGTGACACGTCATGTTCACCCCAACACTGGTCTCCGCCAAAGAACCATGTCGCCACACAGCCCAGATACCCACTCCCTGCAGCTTTTCTCCATATGCACAGATGAGTCTTTGGCCTGGCTCTGAGGAACTTTGGGCCAAGAGTCCAGAATCTAATCAAACATTTTGCATCCTCATCCACATGCCATCAACTATTCGATCTTCAACATCAAAATGAAAAATGTGGGTACAGATAAACAACCTGCGCCTTGTTCCATGTTTTGTTGTGTTTTGGATTTGGGTGTCGTCATTGTATGGGCTAAAATTACTGCAGAGTGGACGAGGGCAGAGACAGGGAGGAGGGAAGAGTGGGGGTAAAGAGCCTGATTGCTTTAATCTCAGTGCTCGCGGCGCACCCCTTTTCATAAAGCTCTTTGGCCGTGTGATTCAGACCCAGGCCCCACTGTTCTGCGCCCCACCATTGTTCTCACATGAAAATCAATTCCCTTGAAGACCCTCCTTAATCCCGCTTTTGGCGTCAACAATGGCCACTTGTGCACGGCCCTGATAGACTAAAAGCTGGGATGATGTGGCTGTCTGCTCTGATTCCAGCCCATTCAGGTAATGGCGGCCCACGTAACTTTGTAGTGCCAAGTGCAGGACTCGACAGGAAGACGTTTGCGATCATAATTTCCTGCAGTGCAGACGCCCAAGCACCCTACGCAACCACAAAACTTTTAATTAGAGCAGACAACCACAGAGATTAGAGATCAGCCTGCAACAATGACTGTCCCTTTGAACGGCCATCGGCCTCTGTCCCCACTGAGCCCACATGGAGAATATCATGCTATGATCACAGTAATAACAAGCACCTCAACAGTGCTCTCTACACCAGAGCCTAGGTTCTGCACATCTGCACAGCTCTCTGTTCATCTGAACACTTATTTTTAAGAAGTCTTCTTCTGAGATGTCCAAAGCGCAATCCTGAGCGACTTCTCTCGATTTTGATTTCAGCAGTCTGTTTGTGCCTCCAAGACAAAAGCAATCCTATCTTCGCTTGTGTTTTTTTTTTTTTTTTTCACAAGTTCTGATGTCCACTAAATCATTTTTTATTGGATTCACAGATCAAAACAGTGCAGGTTCTGTGCCCGCTGGACTCCAGATGTAAGCTTGGATGCAGCCTTCCTCTAACCCACAGGAGAAGCAGCAAACAACAGCCGCGCAACAACCTCACTTAATTACAGTCGGAGCTATATCTAAAAAATCCTGATGAGGAAACACAAAGGCTTAAGTCCACAGAGTAGATTTGATTACTCGTTCTTGTCCCTACCTTTTCTGTGTTTGCGAAAGAAAAGGAACAAAGGAGGAACCCTACTGATCGAGAACCAGCAGAACAGTGAAACAACAGGACACAACTGATCGCTCATGCATGGCTGGGATTAGGATAAAAGTAGAAAGAGCACAGAGAAGAAAGCAAACAACAAAAGGAACAGGGGACTGACAAACTTTTTTTCTTTTTCTTTTGTGGTGAAAAGGATGGAATGAAAGGTCTGGCCATATGAAAAGATAGAGAGGGAATGATTACCAAACAGAGGCGGTCCTTTTCAGCCTCTGTACGCCTCCACGCTCACTCTTTTTAACCAGCTACATGAAAGATAAGGCTTGAGTCTCTGGTGACCAATCTGACACAAACACAGCAGATAAAAATGAATTGTTCATCAAGATATTAGTATTAATTCATTCCATGTTTGTTTTAAGACCAACTCCATGCTGTGCCAACCTTTTTCCATGTGAACTTCTAAGAGCACAAAACTGGAACATTGAGATTGCCATTGACCAACTGGCTTGTGAAAGTTGTTCATTACACACCGACTAACAAGACAGCAGTCTTTTCAGCCCCTGCCTCCGCTAAGTGGAGATCATCCAACAATACTTTGAGTGTCTCCCCTGCCTTTGGACTCAGTTCAAATTATATTCTGTTCCTTATTTATCTCCCTCAACAAAAATAGGAGGGGAAGGCAAGTGATTAGAATCCCCGTCTTTGACTTCTTTTCATTGAAGGGGGCATTTGTGAATGTGAGGAGGTGATTGGCTACGCCTCTATTTCAGCTGGCTCGTTTTAAGTGGTGCACCACTAGTCCTCTCTTAACTTGTCTGGAGGTGAATGAGGTCACGGTGAGGGTAGGAAACGAGTCACAGGCTTTCTTTATATTATGATTATGCAGATAATGTGCACGTTATGGGCCTAACTCACAGTAAAACTAAGAATATATCCAAACACATCTAAAAGCAACATAATTTAAACATTATTTAACTAGTTGGCCTGCATTGCACACCTTCTAGCTATGTTTTAGATTATTAACCTATCATTTATCCTGTTTCATTCTGCTGTTTGACCTATATATTTTGCTTTTATTTGTTTTTATGTATGTCTTTTCTTGTGGGGGTTGTTGATGTTTTAGTTTTGTTTTTTTATGTGAGTACAGCACTTTGGTTTGTCTCCTGGTCAATGGAAGGTGCTTTAGAAACAAAGATGATGATGATGACGATGATGATGATGATGACGATGATGATGATGATGATGATGATGATGATGATGATGGTGGTGGTTATCGTACATTTTAAAAGTATCTTTAAATAAAACTTTCTTTAAAGGAGTTGTTCGTTTATAATTTATCAAACCTAACATTAAATATAATTATCGTCTCTATTAATTTGGTCAGTTTGGTGTCATTTCATGTTTAGCTTTATATTACCATGCTATTATGTGGGTGTAAAAAAAGAAAAACTAAGTTTCTTTTCCACTTTTATTCTGTCAGAAATGATTAAAATGATTAAAGGTTAAATATTTTAATTTTGCATCGATCCTTTTATCACACCCTGTGCTCAGTACTGCACTAAATGAGGAATAATTCACTTTGTTTTCCAAGTGAACAACACATAAATGAAGACAAAAAATAAATAAAACATGATTCAAATGTGTTTCTTAAAGGGATTTATGCAAATGTTTTTGGCAAAATGTCATAAAAGTTATTCAAATGGATTGAAAATTGCTTTGACCTGTAGTCTTTCTTGTTGATCTTTGCCATTTTATAGCGTTGTGTCATGTGTACATTTAGCATTAATGTCATATCAATAAAATAAATAAATAGCAGATTATTTTTATATGGAATAATATCTCACATAAACTTCAAATACATCATAGTTTTAAATAAGACAGCATGAAGAGAAACAGTTTAACCTGTTTAATTCAATAACCACTTTAATGGGCTTTATATGCATCATGTCTCATTAATCATACACTGATTCTGCTAATGAAGCAACACATCAAAATATGATCTGACACCTGACTCCAGTAAAACACGGTGACACCGCAGCATCATTTAGGAATATGTGTTTATGAATTTTCTCTGATCAGTGATGAAAGTTGATTTGACCAGAATATGAGAGAGAGAGAGAGAGAGAGAGAGAGAGAGAGAGAGAGAGAGAGAGAGAGAGAGAGAGAGAGAGAGAGAGAGAGAGAGAGAGAGAGAGAGAAAAGAAGCCTGTAATTGTATGACAGAAATGTTTCATCAGAATAAAAAGTACACTTAAACATGACTTGAAAGGTGACTTTTTAAATGGCTTTCTTGTGAAAAGTCTCACAGCGGCCAACAAATTGTTTTTAAGCTTTTATTAACATTTCTTTATGAAACTTTTTTGTCCAGTTTCTGTTTAAAACTGTCAAATTTGCATTTCTGCATCTGTCAAATGAAGAATCGACTTAATAAGCCCCTCTGTGGGATCCCATTGATGTGATTTTTGATTACATTAGTTATTCACAATTCAAGAGACCTGTGTTGCCAAGAAATCAGACGCTTTACTTCAGTTGCTCGTCAGAGGGAGGAACACACAAGTTAAGACACAGAACCCAACAATAACAGATGTGCAGAAACACAGAAGACCTTCAGTCATCAGAACAGACGGCGTATGTTATTCGGATGCTCGCTTAAGTGTCTCTTTCTCTTTTGAGGAAGTTCTCTCCATTATCCTCAAGTATAAATCACACATGTCATCAAAGTGGCTTTTATTTATTATTTTTGAAAACAACGGAGTCTGTCCCAGAATGCAGGAGGCTTTGGGGGAACGTCCCACCCCCCCAGTCCTCTTGCATCTCGTCGATGGCTCTGCTAATCGCCATGACTGACTGACCTTTAGGCCAGTCCCCTTCTGGGATTTACAGCTTTCACTGGGTTGACCTTTGCTTCCAACACTCCTACAGACACTCTTGTCTTGTGAATTCAGCCTCAGTGCTGGACAAGACCTGCTGCTGGCCGGTGTGTAGGCTACTACCACTACCTCAGCATGTCAAAACCTCTCTAGGTGGTATATGATTCAGTCAGTGGTTCAATAACCCCCACCTCTAACCACCTCATTTACCCCCCACCTGCATGAGGAAAGTTTCCCTCATGGCCCGGAGCAAGGTGGACCTGCTTAAAGCTCGGCCTAATGACGTGTGCCATAGTGGAGAAGACTAAAAGCCACCACCACATATGGAGATGATTACAGGAAGTGGTACAGAATTGCAGGGGACCTCAGGATTTTGAGGGGTGGGTGTTGGGGACTCAATTGTGGCACAGAGTCAGTGAATTTCCAGAGGCCTCTCAGCAAAAAGCCCCATCCTGGCCAGGTCACGCACATTTAGGGTGAAATGCTGGGCTTTTGAGGACAGTGCTCTCTTTACTTTTTAATTAAACACCGCTCACACTTCTCCTGGGCACAATTAAAGTGAAATCAACAGTGATCTTCACCTGTGAATTCTGATGAAATAGTTGTAGATGAAGTTTGGTGGCTCTGGCTAAGTTTGGTTCTTTACTTTTACAAACATCCCATTCTCAGAAACACAACAGCTTCTCCTCTTTTGGAGTCAGTTGTTTAGCCCTGAGCAAACGTGTGTGTTGAAGCGTGGCAGCATTTTTTGCACACTTCATAATGAGCCTTGTTTTACTGCTCTGCTCCTCCCTGACACGCATGGAAACCAGACGTGGCCATTCCAATCGCCTATAGTCTCTGTATCAAAGTAAATGCATGTACTGAGAGTGAATAATCAAAAAACAGCTACAGTGCAGGTTTGCATCATGCCTGGTTGTTCCAACAGCCCTAACGCGTGTACAAAACTCCAAATCCGTTAATTGCAAAGGTCGATGGTATTTTTATTTTTTATTTATGGCCTTGTTTTGTTGTGACTAATGAACCTTAATAGAGCAAGCCAGTTGCCTCCTACCCAGTGAACTCCTCTTTTTCTTTCAGCATTCTCGCAGACAAACAAAAACAACACAACAAAGAGAGGCGGCGCATGAAGGAGCTTTGGTCAGATGGGTCACATGCTGTCCATTGAGCCTCCAGTCCATCAGGACCATTCAGAGGGCCACATAAAACCGGCATGCTGCTTAAATACCTGACAGTAAGAAAAGGGACGAAAAAAAGAGAAAGACGCGGGACAATGGGTAAAATAAATAAGACAGCCCCTGTGACTGATGAGTATAGATGGTGCCAGAGAGTCACTGACAATTCAAGAAATGTGGCTGTGGCCACAAAAGGCGGCTGGAAAATACTGAAGAGGCTTGCTGGGCACATTTTTTAGGCCTTTCCCACTTGGACCCCCTTTTGAGTCTTTGTCTGTGCTCTGAGTCCATGAGAGAAGTCAATTACAGACACTTGGTTGTAGATTCCTGGTTTGTCCGTTTCCTTCTGGCAGTTAAAGCCTACTCCCTATTTAAATAACTAATTAAAGATGGGATGCACTTAAGAAGAATCAAGAAACAAGCAAATAAAGAAGACAACGGAATATCTTGCCCGTCACAAACTGATTAAGATGTTGCTTGTAGATTTGTTAATGAGAAAACATCAAAAGATGAGTGAAAAGGAGAGATAAATACTGGGCAGTCATTAAAATCTGTGTTTATGCTGCCCAATTTTTGCGTGTTGGGGAATTCAACGTGTTGGTTAGTTGGCTCCATTTGATCTGTGCTGCAGAAGGAGATGTCTGAACCTCTAGGGCTTGTGATCGCAGGCTAATGCACGCACACAAAAACAGTCAATTATATTCTAAATTATGGGGAGAGGGGCATCAAAAATGTTTGATAAGCTCAGGTTTTTTATTCCACCATGGACGTCTGTGGTATGCTCTTGAGGACACTAAAAATAAACAGGTTGGATCACTGAGCAGTTTTAGAATCAGATTTATCAGTGCTGAGATTTATTTGAGCAAAGCAATCACGCAGTTTGCAGCTCCACTCAGGCTGACAAACAACCCTAAAACTACCTCTTCACCCTCACACACAGCACACTGACATGGGAGACTTTTCAGAGACGACGTGGAGCAAAGTTTACATCAATGTCTCCACAATTGGCGGGTTGTCTCCTACTCTTTTTCTGTCACAGGGAATAGGCTAAACAGAAAGATGTTATTTAGCTCTTTTATTTCCCTATTCCAGTCGAGCAAAGCCGCTGCATCACAGGCTCCCCCTGTCTCTAATAGAGCCCCTGAAGAATTCAAGCATCTCCCCTCAAATGAATCTCTAGCTGGCAAAAAAATAAAAATAAAAAAGCAGGACTGGTGGCAGAGTTAACTCTTTGTCTGGACGGGATGTGTTTGAGTGTAATGTCCAAGTGCATAGTTTTCCCAGAGTGGGAGCCGTAAATCAGAGCGTGTGTGCCCCGGGGTTGTGTGGAGAGCGTTTATATGTGGAGCTGCTCAGACCACGTCTCCATCTTAATGTGAGTTCTGACCCCACAGATATCTTGTAAATTGCAAACATTAAGCGAGTGTTTGCTCTCATGCCGCACACCATCCTGCAGACATTCTGAACAGCACAGCCTGACCCTCGTTACTTTAATCACCGCAAAACTTACCCACAGCAAGACAAATGATCAAATGTAGACAGCTTCACTGGCTCGTTTTGATTCCCTCATTTGAGTGCACTTCACAGGCGCGTTCCAAAAAAATTCAAATTCCACTTTGTTCCAGTGACCACCGGGCAAAAAACTAAATACCAGTTAATTCTCTGCTTGAGATGGCATATAAATGAGTAATCATGTGTCATAATCTTACCAATGTTTTTCAGCAATAGAATAGATATTATGTTATTTCTTGCGTGATGAGATGTGGTCGGCTCGTCCCTTTGATCTAGCGCACTCGCCAGGAAGAGATTAAAAGGTTCGTGAAATCAAAATAAACCTTGATTTGGTTTTTAGTGATGCGTTAAAGTGAAGGAGGGGGGAAAGGGAATTAGTTTTATGCAAAACATCCCGAGCATGTGCACATGATGATGATGACTGTATCATGCAACCTGGTGTATGTCTGATGTGCTCGTTTGAAAGCAGCCTGGTGCAGTTTTTTATTATTTTTTTTAAGGATTGCATGTTACCTGAAATCCAGACTTTTAGTTATGCTTTTACATGTGCTCAGAGATCACAGCCCATAAAATAATGCGCATGTCTCTGGTCATATTGCTGTGTGGTCAGAGGGAAGATGAGGGCTTCTCTTTAGAGTGAAGCTAAATTCAGGGGAAAGGGTGGAGGGTGTATTTGAAGTGCG